ATTTTGGGGCCATTTTGGTTCATCTTGGGTGCAGCCCTGGCTGGGCTCTGGTGCTGCCCAAGGTGGATCCATGGAGGAGATGCTTTGAATCAATCCCTGCTTGATTCTGCAGCTCTGCCCAGCCTCTGCTCCAGGGCAGCCTGCACAAGGCATCACAAATACAAATATTCTGATAGGAAACACAGTGCTAGGTGGGTCAGTTCTCATCCTGCAGCAGAGTGCAGGTGACAACTTACTGCCCATTCTTTTACTTTCTCCCTAAACAGCCCCACATTTTCTGCAATCCAGCACAACTCTCTGAGTTACAGTGACTGTTTACCTGAATAGGTCCATGGGAAATATCATACAATAACCAGAGCATGTTTCCTGGCAGAGTCAAGATTAACTGATTAGAAGCAGTACTACTCATTTGGGCCTTTTGGCTTTCATTTTTTAATGAGGTAACCTTCTATCTTTGCACCTTCATTTCCATCCTATGAATTAATCATCAAGTGTTATCCATACAAAGGCTCTCAATGTTTTCCTAGTTTAGATATGATTTCAAGGCTCATTATTACATTCAGTCACCAAGAAATCACTTCTGCATCACAGCTGTATTCCACCTACAAAAGCAAGACTTCTGTTGAAGACAACTGCTGAAGTGTAGGTATTCCATGGCAAGAAACATGAATTGTGTTGATCTGTTCATAAGGCAAAAAATAACGAGAGGTTGAGCATTTTAATAACCTGCTAATGTCACCAACTGGGTAAATTGTGACAGGAAATGCATCTTGGTCTTGTGTTACTGGCATTAGGCTGCATTTTCCCTGCAGTGCTCTAGTAACCCTCTGCAGTTTGTGCAGTGTTCTGGTGACATGCTGTTCCTACAGGTGCTGAGTGGGAAGGTTACAGTGGGGGGTGTGATGGATCACTCTCTGGGGAAGCACAGAGATCTGTGTGTCTGTCTGACAGCCCTGGAGTCTTATGATCACCTCCAGAAGCAACTGTGCCCTTCAGTCTTGGTGCTGCTGTTTATTCAAGGCACAAGTGGCTACCAAGATTTCCATGGCTATCTCAGTGACTGGCCCTCAGCAGCTCTTCCAAATGCAGCAAACACTGTTTTCCAGCAGTTTTTGTTAAAATAGCACCTGTGTTCACTGGAAAGTCCTTTTATTCTGCAGTTAGTGAATCTTCATCAGAAAGTTGTAGGAAAATTAAAACCAGGCACATTCCTGTTTCACAGTTAGATGCCTAACACAAACTGAAAGGAAACTCTGAAAACAAATTAAATGAGAAAGGATTTTTAAGGATTATAATTTTTTGCCTAGATGGTTATTCAAATCAGGCTCCTTTGCCTAATGATTACATTTTAATTTTTGTACTTAGGCTCTCACATGCACATATGATGAGTAGAAAACCTACCACGACAATTTATTGCCTGCAGTTTCAAATTATTTGTCAGAAAAGATGAGTGTCAAACTCAATGCACTGGTTTGTTCCTGCTCTGTTCTCATAAGATAAAACCAAGATAAAACATGCTCTATGGACCTTTTCAAGCACCAAGTAAGCACACTATTCATCAACTCACCTACAACCATGTTTTAGAGGGTTTTAGGATGATAAAGGAAGGTTTTAGGATGATAAATGCCCTAATGAGGGGATGATTTTTGAAATGGCAGATCAATTTTTGCATACACAAAAGTTTCCAGCAGCCATAAGGGCCATGCTGGCTGTGACACATGAGAGAGGCAGTGATGGTGGAGGGACAGGGAGAAGCACAAACCTCCATGTGGGTGGTTTACACCACAGCATCAGGGAGTGGCCGGAAGCAACATCTGATTGTAACATCACATGATCGTGTCATTAAATCATGGGTAAATATTTACTGTCTTCTTCCTGCCAATTGCATTTATGCTTGATGAGGCAGGAGAGAGCAGCTTCCACACAACCCAAACTTTACTCATTGAATCTACTTCTTTACTGAGCAGCTTAGAAAACAACACAGGAAAAATGCGGTTTAATAAGACAAAACTGATGCAGACTGATAGATATCTTTAGCTGCATTTGACACTGAACCTGGAGAAGAAGTTTTTTTATTTATATTCTTTATAGTTTTATATTCTTTATATTTACTTTATATTATTTATATTATTTTATATTCTTTATTTTCATTTTTTTTATTTATCTTCATATTTTTATATTATTCTTTGTATTTTATATATCTGCATTTGGCACTGAGCCTGGAGAAGAAGTTGAATTTTTTTATATTCTTTACATTTACTTTATATAATTTATATTATTTTATATTCTTTATTTTCATTTTTTTTAATTTATCTTCATATTTTTATATTATTCTTTATATTTTATATATCTGCACTTGGCACTGAACCTGGGGAAGAAGTTGAATTTTTTTAATATTCTTTATAGTTTTATATTCTTTATATTTACTTTATAGAATTTATATAATCTGTATTCCTTATTTTCATATTTCTATTTTTTATTTATCTTCATATTTTTATATTATTCTTTCTATTTTATATATCTGCATTTGGCACTGAACCTGGAGAAGAAGTCAAATTTTTTTTTATATTCTGTGTATTTTTATATTCTTTATATTTACTTTATATTATTTATATTACTTATATATATAAGTATATATATTACTTATATATATGAGTATATATATACTTATTATTTACATTATTTTTATATTTTTATTTTCATGTTATTTTATATTCTTTATTTTCATATTTTTATCTTTATATTCTATATTATTTTTATATTATATTTTTTTAATATTCTGGTTTGGCTTTCCCTTGTACAGCAATGCTCAATTCCCATGTTTGCAGATCAATATAAAGCATTTGAAAGTGCTTCGATGAAAGACTTCATATAAATGTTATTTAACAGCTCTTGAATTGTTGCTTACTTAGTATTCACAAGTCATAAAATAAAGACAGCTGCTGTCAGTTCCACTTAATCTGATAGGAAAAAAAAATCTTCATATAAGGAGAAAAAACCTCAGGAAAAGCATTAAGAAAAATACTGGTTTCTAAAACTGAGCCTTGCATCTTTTATTTCAAAACTTATGGATGGAAATATTATCTGACTTCAATAACTGATAATTACTGAAGACGGATCATTTGTGAAAGATTCCTCTTGAGTAATTTCTATTATCATAAAAAGTATTATTATTATTCCTACTGACCTTTCAGAAGTATCTGCAAAGACATCAAGGAGTGATCTGGTAGTGGAATAAAAATGGCTACAGCCAATATTTGGAATCTTTTTTGTTTTAGGAAAGATTGATGAGAAAAATCAATGCACTCTGTGTGATTGGACCAAAAAGCACTGTCCATGCAACACAACTGATCAAAAAATTACAGTCAGAAACAAAGACCTAAAGATGAGATTAAGATGAGGTTAAATATTTGTGTATCAGCATCATAGTGATGTGGCATCATACAGACTTAGGCATCAGAAATATTCCTTGTCTTGGTACTGACTACCTTTGTCAGCACTGCCATAGACACAGGAGGATTTCACACTCTGATTTTTCTTTCAGCCCAGAATGAACACATGTACATAGAACTCACACATGTGGGCAGAGGAGAGAGGAAATATTTCAATCTTAAGGTAGTTTCTCTTACCACACAGTCTTTTTCCTGTTGAAGGTAGCAAAGCTAACACATTGTGAGGCTCAGAGAGACAGGCTTCTGCTTTACATTCATAAATTCTTTCTTAAGCAACTGCAAGCAGCACAAATTAATATAATTTAGTCTTCATTAACACAGAGTAATAGGATATGTTGTACACAAATTATGATCGAAAAACTAAATGAGCATCGAGAGGTTTGGCATCTCCATGTCAGACAGATTTCTGCCTAGCATCTGGCATTCTGAGGTTTGAAGGATAAACCCCAATACTCTGTGGGCTCTTATTGCAGAACGGAGTGGTGAAGCATTTTGAGACAGCATTGTATTTGCCCATTTGGCTTTTGTGGGTTCTTGGGGGTTTTTTCTACTTCTGTTGGGGTTGGGATTGGAGGTATTTGAGATGATAGTTCACGTTTAGACTTAAGTGTTTATTGTTTTTATTAATGTTATGGCTTTCCAGCTGTGAGTTCTGTAGTCTTTCATTAGCAGGACACAAAATGGCTAACTATCTCCTGTTAGAAGGTCTTTAAAGGCTAAGCCATCCAATTAAGAAATGATACTTAAATTATTTTCTCTTTTAGCTCAATAACTGATCACTCAAAATCCACTATGCAGACTTCTCTGTTTAATTACAAAATACTACCCAAACCCATGAAGAAGAAGGAAGAAGAAGGTAAAGAAGGATAACCTGTCTCGGCCCTATAACCTCCTTCCTTCTTCACATTTATTTCTATATTCTAAAACCCCAAACTCCAAGTTTTTCACCCTGTAATATTACACACTTCTGACCAACTCCACACCCATAATCCCAGTGCAATTTATCAATTTTGGAAGCCAGTTTCTCAGCCACAGGTTAAATGCAGTATTTTCTTAAGAGTTAGTGCTTATTAGTACAGAAAGTCTAAAATTCTCAGTATCCCAGGTGCCAACAGTTTTCACTCTTCCTCAGCAGCTGAGTGCCTGTGGTGATGTCTAAAAGGCAGCCTCTACAGCAGCAGAGCCTGCAAGTCACATCCCAAGCCATGGAAAGACAAGTTACTTATCAAAACTCCTTTTCTCCCTGATTTCTGCTGCCCATGAAAGAAAGGAACCCAAGCAACAGACCAGAAAGACCAAAATGATGGGGGAGCTCAGACTGCAGGCAAACCACAGAGTTTGTGTGGTGCCTGAGGGATGCTGAGGGCACAAACAACTACCTTGGAAGCACCACTTAACAATTTCCCACACACCTCACTTGGGTCCCCTTTGCTAGAACGACTGTGAGCTTGCCATTAAGTGAACATCCCCCTAAATGAAATGGGAGTTAGAGCAGGAGGATGTGCTCCAGTCATTTCTGGAATTCACAGAAATTCTGGAATTCCCTGCTCTGCCCCTGGAGCTGAGCTGACCCAGCAAGGGCACCCAGTGAGGGGCATTTGCTGAGTGCTGTGAATGCAGAGGAGCATCCCTCCCCTCTCCCTGCCCTCCTCAGGCTGCAGGGAGGAGTGAGTGGTTTAGTGGTTTTTTCCTGGCCATGCTCTGCAGTTATCACTACATAAGGCAATGCAGTGGCTCAGGGCATTCATTTCCCTGAACTCAAAGTCAACTGCTCACTCTGACTTCTGCCTCCACCTGATGAATTACTTGTCTGCAGTGCCTGACCTATAAATAAACACAGCATCTGTTGGAATGCAGGTCTGAGAGCCTGGCTCAATAAATCACTCTCCAGAAAATCCCAAAGCTACAAAAACCCTTTCCACTGCTTCTGTCCTTTCCCCTCCTCTGCCGTCCCATGCAGGGGGAAAAATTTCTGTGTTCTTGCTTTTTCTTTTCCTGTCCTTTACTCTGCCATGCATAGATCTATCTTTTCTCCCATCCAGAGGGAATAATTTCTGTGGTTTTGCTTTCCCCTTTTCAATTTCTCAAAGGCATACCTTCAAGAATAAATAGGAAGACAATAGCCAGAGCAGCTGCAACCTTTTATATGAGGTAAGAGCCTTCTAATGCAGTGGGAGGCAGAGCATGGCTCTCTCTAATACATGGCAGCTGCCCATTTACTCAAGGACAGTACTGAAGCCAGCATTAATGGGAAATTCCCCTTTACCTGTAGCAAAACACATAATTTTGTTTGGCTGAGGTGGTTAAAAGTAACAGATTTGGAGTTGGCATTTTACCCCTGAAAGATGATGCAACTGCTATTAAAACAGACGTATTCTTTCCTGTTAAGTTTGTAAAATTATCAAATGTAAAAAAAAAAAACAAAACAAACCCAAACAACTCATTGCAGAATAATGCAAGACAGAGGAACAAAATTATTACTTCTAAAAATATCTGTAGATGAAAGCAGTATTACATTTCTTCAAGAATAAATAGGAAGACCCTCATAATTCAAGAAGAAAATTGTTGAGTTTCCACAGGGGTTGAAGTTGGTCTCTTACAAGTTCATTTTTTCCTCAGTAAGATATGAGACTTAATCAGAATAAATGTCTGTGTTTACCGAGGAAAGAGCTGAAATCAGAATGGGCTTGAACTCAGATGTTCACTTTCACCAGGCAGTGCAGCATCATCTTTTGGCAGAAATACTTCTGGTTTAAGTTCATCATTCAAGTGACAGGTCTACCACAAACAGCAAAAGAAGTTTTATGAAATAATATTGTTTTATCTTGAAAAGAAAAAAAAAAAATTGATCACCCCAAAAATTAGCATCAGGATTATGTATGTTTTTGGTGTTAAACTGAAAATTTCATGGGGACACCTCCCATGCAGATGCAAATATCAGATGGGAGTTTTTATAATCTATCACAAATCAGAGCAGAGGCTTTGATAAGAAATTACTTCAGGTAAAGATTCAGGGGTAAAGGAAGTCCTGCAGCTGCCCAAGACTTCTGGCCTTGGTGCTATGTTGGACAAGTGCAGCCTAGCTACTCAGGCAGCATAAATTCATTCCTTCTCTTTCTTTCTGAAAAAACAGAAAATGAGACACTGAAAATCTTTTGGGTAATAACTGCTGCAATTCAATCTCCCCTTGTACACAAAAAAACCTTTTGCTTTCAAAAGCTCATTTTAAAATATTTTTCCTCAATAAATTTTTCTCTTATTTTCAATAATATGTTCAGAATCTAGATTAAAATACTAAAAAAATGTTTTAAAATTATAATATTATCCAGGTTTCAAAGTGTAATTCAAGAACTCATTGCCTTATTAGGAATTTTCAATTGCACGTGCATTTTTCACTCTTTACTGAAGAACTTCATATGCAACTTTGAAACACATTCCACAGACCCATTGCAACTATTAAACCTTTGAAATAGATTCCATAGACCCATTCCAACCCTAAAACTTCAGAATAGCTAATGAGGGAAGAATTATTTATAGCTTAGCCTTTGGCAGAAGGAATTCTAAACAATTTCTGAATCAAGCTCTATAACTTCAGAAGGAAAAAATAAAAAAAGAAAAAAGAAAGAAACCTCTGAAGCCAAAGGGATAAAAGAGAAAAGTGAGGTACTTTTTTCTATGAAAGTATTGGCATTTATGCTCCTGTTGGGTTTGTAATTTTAACAGCAGCTCTGGTACTTTACACTGAAGGCCTTTGATGCACTTTGTCAGCCATAATGAATGCATCTTAATATTTCTCTAAAGCAGCAAGGGGGTGTCCTCAAACTAAGCACGAGAAAATGACACAAATACACAGAAAGGATTTCTGACCCATTTTGGAATGCATTGAGCCAGTGAATCAGACAGTGTGCAAATTTCAGATCAGCTAAAAGCAAGTAGTCAGGCCAGCTCAGGGAGCATGATGAGAACACAGAGAAAGAGCTCCCTAGGAAGCTGGGAAGCTTTTCTATTCTAGTCTGCACTGCCAAAATGAAAGGAGCTACTGCCCCATTTAGGAACAGAATTCCACATCTTCACCCTCTTGAAAAATACCTTTTATGCATATATGTATTTTATATATCTAGATATAAAATACTGTCTATATATAAAATATTATTATAATATTATATATAAAATATTATAAAAAATAAAATATTACCTACTGCAAATCAATGAGGTCCATGGAAAACTGAGGAGAAAGGAAAAATAATGTTATTCTCATCATGCTCATATGGCAGAATATAGGACTATGAGGTAGGAAATAGGATGCAAAAGAGACAATGCTATTTTTTGCATTTATTTCCCTTTATTGCATGCATTATAGTCATTATTTGTCATACCACTGTGTAGTGTGACAAAGAGGTTCACAGGAAAGCATATCCAGCTAAACTCTCCTTCCTTTCTGCCAGCTGAATGACAAAAATGTTCTGCCCCCAGTACTTTAAGAATTGGAGAGATGCTGTTAATTAACCTGTTCCAGGCGCAGAAAATTCTCTGTGGATGAGAGTTAGTGATTTTTTTCTAACTGCTAATGATTTAATTGAGAGATGAACAGGAATTACATATGGTAAAATTCAGTTTCTGACAGAATTTTCAGTCAATACTCAGTCAGTTTCTCCCTTGTGTTGCAAAAAGGCAGTGTGTTTATCACTGTGAAGATTACAACAGGTTAGGGAATAATCCCTGCTGGACAGCCTGGGTCTAAAATAGCAAAGCATATTTTTATTTCATGCTACTTATGCTGGACTGATTTAGCCCATTCATGGCTTAAGCACTGTGTTTAATCCTCAGAACTCTCAAAACAAACAGTCCATAATACTCACATGAAATGCTGGGTTTTTTTCAAGTGCAACTGAAGAGATTATTCCAACCCTCGCCCGAGCCCCAGAATGCACTGCCCAGGTCAGACAATACGCAAAGATCAGACTCTGGAAACATCAAGGTGATCAAAATCTGCCTCTGGTGATGAGATGAAATGGATCTTCAATTTGTCCTGTTTCTGGGGTTCTGATCAGGACTAAAGGACTTTCTGTCAATTAAAAAACAAAAAAAAAATAGAACATATTAGGCTTTATTTAAACACATCTGGGGCACTGCCTCTATCTCCCCCTTTTTCTGTTTATCCAAGAGGGATTTCAGAGTGATATGTTCTCTCAATGATCCCTTGACTTGTGGAAGAGGATGGAATGCCAAAGGTGTGATGAACACCCCAATCCATTAAAAATGTGGCTGCTTTCTTTCCTGTGCAGGCTGCACTATTATATTTGTGGGGTGTCCTGTGACAAGGAGGAATGATGAATGTGACTCCATGTTCTCAGAAGGCTAATTCATTATTTTATGATACTATATTTTATTAAGCTATCCTAAAGAATACAGAAAGGACACAGACAGAAGGCTAAAAAGATAGTAATGAAAACTTGTGACTCTTTCCAGAGCCCTGACACAGCTTGGCCCTGATTGGTCATTAAATCAAAACAATTCACATGAAACCAATGAAACAACCACCTGTGGGTAAACAATCTCCAGCACATTTCAAAGAAGCAAAACACAAGAGAAGCAAATGAGATAATTATTGTTTTCCTTTTTCTCTAAGGCTTCTCAGTTTCCCAGGAGAAACATCCCGGGTGAAGGGATTTTTCAGAAAATATCAACGTGACACTGGACCATTGTCTGGTTTTATTCCTTGAGGCACACCCAGTGAAGCAAATGCTTGCAAAAGGTGATGACAAACATGCCTGGATCTTTGTCTGAAAACATCAAGGTGTAATTCCAAGAGGACCATCCTGCACGTTCTTACAAGGAAAGGAATAAGACAGTATCAAAAGGGACAAATCCATGTAAAACTGAAAATCTGGAGCCAGCTCTCTGAACCATGGATATTTCTGTGCAGGAGGACCCAACATGGAGCAGCCAGTGGGTGTGGAGAGGAAGCACTACTCAAGGACTACCCTGCCTGGACAAAATTAGGAATTGCAGGGAATTTAGGGGTGATTTCATGCCAGTAGGACCTGTTTACTTCACACATTCAAAATCTGGAGCTAAATTCATGCCACATAGGCAGCAATTCATTCTATAATTTCATCAATGGAGAGCATTTGATGTAAGCACATGAAGTTGGCTTCAGCTGGCAGCCACATCAGCCACTTGGCAAACAAGGATTTAGGGAAGAAGTTGCCATTTTTTTCCTAGAAGTCTGCCCATATTCCATCAAACCTTGGCTGCACGACAGCCAGATACAATGAACCAGCTGGTGAGAGCCCAGAACTGCTTGTTCTGGGCTTCAAAACCTACCTGGGATGCTGGGAAAAACATTGAGAGTCACATTCTTATAAAAACATTGAGAGTCACATTCTTATAACCAGCGCTGCACAGAGAGTGGTATCAACACTCACTTGGGCATCAAACCCTACAGATCTAGTCACACCTCTGACCTGCACAACGCAGCTATAACCCAAAAGGAATGGTACTAGAAGGTGAGCAAGATTTCCAGGGTTTCAGCTGTAAAGTCAAGCTCAGAGTTGGTGATGTGTGATATCAAAACATCTGAAAAGCCCTTCAGGGCACAGTAATTTTACACACAAGAATCAGAATTATTAAAAAATAGCTCATCAATCACACTAAAATATTCAGTCTCATCTGACTTTTTTTCTATTTATGACCTTCCATTACATCTTACAGTTTATTTGCATGGGACAAACTTTCTGTGTTGGACAGCAGCACTAATGGTGGCTGCACATTAGGGTCAAAGATCAAAATAGTCCTGCTGAAAGGAAAAGTGAGAAATTACTAAGGTAGATGTTGAAATATTTACTTCCTTTCATGAGATTTATTTCTGCGTTAATGTTCCTGTACCATGTCCTGGCTCAATTCTTGGGCCACAATTCCCACCATAAGTGCAAATATGGTCTACTAGTACAAATTCACTGGAAAACCTGAAAGCTGCATGGATTTTCCACCCTTACAGACAAAATTACATTACTAATAAAATTCATTTCTTAATCATAATGCCTCAGCACTCATATAAAGAGCAGAGTTTCTTTATATTCTTCTCAATTTTCTCTCCAAATTCATTTGCCCTCTTTATGTTCATCTCTACATTCCTTCATTTGTATTACTGGAAAAGCAGTGACCAAATTCACCATCAGAACTTATTTCCCTCATGAACTTTCATATGGCTCCCTATTTGAGCTCAAGCTCAGGGGAATATGTTTTCAAAGAATATATGTTGAACATACAGAAAAGTAAAAATCCTTCCATTAATTAAGAGACTCCACTTTTCCTTGAAGTTTAGGCTGGTTCCAAGCCCCACCTAACCAAGTCCAAACCACATCATTACAGCCTACAAGACCCATCATTTTATGTTGTTGAAGGTTGACTCCACCTTGGTTAGGTGGGGCTTGGAACCAGCCTAAACTTCAAGGAAAAGTGAAGTCTCTTAATTAATGGAAGGATTTTCACTTTTCTGTATGTTCAACATATAGTCTTTGAAAATGTGTTCCCCTGAGCTGGAGTTCAAATCATCATAGTTCTATGTTTTGTTAACCTATTCCAGACTATTTTTATCCCATTCTTTGGCTCTAAACTAAATGTGGGTAATGCTCATCAGGTGTTTGGGTTCCACTTCCATTGTTACTTCTCTCTTCTTGCTACTTCCTTAATGCAAGTGCCAGCAGCAAATTGCGATAACGTAAGTAAAAGTGAGAAATGTGCTCTGCCCATTTAAACAGTGATTAAAGCACACAGTATTTATGCCAGAATTTAATCTATAGCTCAAGAAATCAGCATTTACTTGATGCAAGCCCAAAGAATGGTTTGTAGTTAATATTCTGAATTTTCCTTCACCAATAGGTGGTCAATGGTGATTTCTCAGAGTTTCTAAGCCACACAGCACTCCTCTGCTAGAGGACTCTCAGAATTACAACTCAGCCTCAGCACCTCCTCCCTGCATAAACCCTCTCAAATTTCCAACGCTATAACAATTACAGCAACAATAACAACTCCACCTGCACGATCACAGCTCCTCCTGAGACTCTGGTATCAGGTACACCTTTTGTAACCTGGCTGATAATGCACAATTTAACAGCCTTGCATTACAAAATACCTCCCATCACCTGCACTGCCTGGAAACCCGAGTTTCCAATTCCTTTCCTTACAGAATTACAAGTGCAGAACAAAGGAGAACTAGAGGTGAGTTCACACTCAAGGATGGCCAGCACAGAGCAATATATTAATTTACTACTGACACCACCTGGTTTACTCATCGTGTGTTCCCAGATTTAAAGACAACGTATGCTGTATATCACCCGCATTTATGGCAGAAACAAAGTCAAATCTTTTCATTCAGTTACCACTAGATATATATATATATATATATATATATATAGCTCCTTATGGTTTAATTGGACATCCTCAAATATTAAAATTTAAGTAATTTACTGTCTTTCCTTAATGCAAGGGCCAATAGCAAACTGTGATAGCATCAGTAAAAGTGAGAGATGTGCTTTGCCCATTTGTACAGTGATTAAAGCACAGAGTATTAATGTCAAAATTTAATCTCTAGTTCAGGAAATCAGCATTTACTTGATGCAAGCCCAAAGAATGGTTTGTAGTTAATATGCTGAGAAAGAAACTTGTCAGTGTCCCAAATTACCAAAAAAACCCTATTTAGATCTGTATTTCAGCTACCTAAATACAGCAACAAAAAACAAGGGATATCAGGCCATTGCAGAATATTATCAATGATAGAGGAAAAAACTCCATTTATCTCTGTGGGATCCATCCAGCAGGCACACCAAAAACAGAATTTTCTTATTAAAAGCTTCAGTAGATGAATGAATGAAGTTTTTCATGACTGACATGTTGGAGTTTGTCCAAATCATTGCAGCACACAAGCAAAGTGCAGCCAACATGGTCCATGGCACTTATCTGTACAAAAAGCTTTCAGGAAAATCCTCCATCAGAAGTGGTGAGGTGATGAAAGCAGCCAGGGAGGTTAAGCAAACAAAGTTAAGAGGAGGAAAGCAGTTCATGAAACAGGAGATCCCAAGGATTAATTTGGAAATTCCTCTGCAATATCCAGGAAAATCATTTCGCTGTCTCTGTGAAATGGGAAGCAGAGGGAAACAAATGGTGGTATTTTTTTCAAAGTCTGCACATAATTTTAACATTGCACATTTATGTCACTCTACTGATGTCACCAGAGAACACCTCGGGGTCTGAGCTGTGTCTCTCTGTTATTCAGCCAAGCACAAGAAGATGCTTCACTCACATTTTGCTTTTCAGCTTGTTCATGTCACACAGCTCCCAAATACTCTAATCCATGAACTCTCTTACTACTGAAACAGAGGATGTTGACAGCCCCAGAGCCAGTGGGCTCAGTCTGGACACCAGATGGGTGATTCAGAGTCAAAATGCCTCTTTAAATTCTTAATAAACATATAGAAAGCCTTAGTGCTAGGCCCTGAGGGAGCATCAGTGAAAAGAGCAAATACAAACCACAGGAGGATCGAATCGAAACCAGCAAGTTTGCCTAAAAAGAAGGGAAGGAAATGATTGTATGTAAAAGGCTGGGGCATGAATAAAGTATTTTTTATTTTAAAACAAACCCAAATGTCTTTTTAATTTAACTAATGTTCATTCTAAAAGTATATTTTTGTAACTAATTGTATCAATGTGGAAAAATGCATAGCCTGTACAACCTCTGGAACTGAAATGGTTTGTCTCTTGAAAATGATAAAAACAGGACAAAAGCTTCACCTAAAACCAGCACATAGCAACCACTAGTTGATCGCACAACTGTAGGAGGCTATCCAAGGCACGAAATTTCTCTGAAAAATCCATTTCCCTTAAATGTCTTATTTTAAACAAGCAATTAAACACAGTTTAGGCCCTTATGAGACATAAATAAGTATTTTTAGTCACAGCAATAGAGGCAGAAATAAAACATCTCACACAAAGTGGCACAGATTTGATATCTGATTTTTCTTCTCCCACTTCAATGTTTAGGAAGTACTGTAGTAATGTACTAAG